GCATTGAACAGCTGCCTCCTGCATGCCCCCTACAGGGGACTGAGCCTGCAACCGGGCATGTGTCCTTGACTGGAATTGAACCTGGGACCCTTCATTCTGCAGGCCGACACTCTATCCACTGAGCCACCCTGGCCAGGGCTCCAGCTGATTCTTAAAAACCCATGTGCTCTCCAGGCTCCAGCTCAAGGGCCCTCCAACCTCTGTTGATCTTATAGCAGCTGCCTGTCAGTTTTTTGTGTGTGTGTGTGTTTTTTTTTTCCGTTTTGGTGAGAAAGAGAGAGAGAGAGAGAGAGAGAGAGAGAGAGAGAGAGAGAGAGAGAGAGAGAGAGAGAAAGGGGAAAGGTGAAGTCTCTCTTAAGCCTAATATTGGGAGTGACATATCATTTCTCCTGTCCTTATTCTTTAGGCCTCAAGACCAACTTTAGTACCTTGTAAAAAGGGAATGCTTAAGAATGTGGTCATCAGAACATGGAGATCATTAAGGGTCTTCTGAGAATTTGGCCACCACACATCCTCAGCGAGTTCATAGCTCCTACCACACAGTCCCACCATCCCTTACCCAAAGACTGACAAACAGCTTCTCTCTCAATCAGCCCCAGGGATCAAGGCCTCAACTCCCCTTTGATCAGCTCAGGAAGCTGTGTTCCCCCTGCAGCCCCAACCCAGGCCCTAAACTTCCTCTTTCCAGCTGCTGTCATTGCAGTTCATTCACTGGGGGGACCTCCTGAGGGGGGTTGGGGGGGGCACAGCCGGTGGACACTGAGGGCCTGGGCCCGGCCCCCACCCCGGGGAGCCCAGCGGAGGCTGGAGAGGCAGCCGTGGTGAGAGATCGGCCTGTTGCCTGGGGTTCCCAACATCTCACATTCACCCTCTCTCTCAGCCCTGGAGGCCAGGTGTCTGAGGTCTGAGATCCTGGGGTCCCAGGGTCCCCCATCTCCCTCCCCTGGAGGCGCCTGGGAGGGTGCCTCCTGCCTCTTCCAGCGTCTGGGGCTCTGGGTGTCGGGGTGTCTCCGGGGCTGGTGGCGGCCTTCCCCTCTCCCTCCTGCCTCTGCCTCCATCCACCTGCCCGTAGCTGCTCCTCTGTGGCTGCGTCTCCTGTTCTGGGTTTGACAAGGAGCCTTCCCTCCATCCCACCTGCGAGATGAATTTCTTTTCTTTAAAAAAAAAATATATATATATATTTTATTGGTTTCAGAGAGGAAGGGAGAGGGGGAGAGAGAAACATCCATGATCAGAGAGAACCATGGATCGGCCGCCTCCTGCACACCCCCTACTGGGGATCGAGCCCACAACCCGGGCCTGTGCCCTTGACCGGGAATCAAACCCTGACCTCTGGGTTCCTAGGTCGACGCTCAACCACTGAGCAACACGGGCCAGGGAGGAGCAAGGTGAATATTTGGAAATAATTTTTCAATATTATTTAGGTGTGAGGGACATCAAAGAAACAGAAGGGTGAAGAAATAATTTAAAAAAATTTTTTCTGTACACTGTTAGGTTCTGTGCCGGGGATCAGTAAATTAAACGGAGAAAAGACAGAATAAAAAGATGAAACAGACAGACAAGCCCTGGGCGGTGTTGGTCAGTGGATAGAGCGTCCACCTGCAGATTGAAGGGTCCCGGGTTCGATTGCCGGTCAAGGGCACAGGCCCGGGTTGCGGGTTCGAAACCCAGTAGGGGGGGGTGCAGGAGGCGGCTGATCCATGATTCTCTCGCATTATGGATGCTTCTCTCTCTCTCGCTCTCTCTCTCCCTTATTCTCTCTCTCAGTAAAAAAAAAATAAATAAAAACCTATTTTCAAGCAGGAAGTTCTCCGTGGGTTGGGGTGGGCGTAGAAGGGAGAAGAGAGAGCCTTTGCGAATGGAAATTTTCTGCAAAAAAAAGGGGAAACTGGTGGCAGAAGGAGGACCGGCCGTTGCTGCTGTGGTTGCTCCTAAAAATAAAGAAATAAATAAAGAAACAGCTCAAAATAACCCTCCAGTCAAGGGGCCTGTTTGGGGGGTGGCAGGTCCCCATTCCCTTCAGGGGGGAGAGGAGACACGGCAGATGGGAAGGTCCCTGTGTTGTTGGTATCTTTATGCTCAGGCCTCACCCGTTTTGTTTTATTTCTTTATTTTTAAAGATTCTAAGTGGTAAGAAAGCATGGCTTTCTTATCTATCTATCTATCTATCTATCTATCTATCTATCATATAAAACCCTAATATGCCAAACAGCGGAACAACTCAACAGCTATGACGTGTGCTGACCAACCAGGGGGCGCATGCAGAACATAGTGGGCATGGGCAGCAGAGCGCGGAACATGGTGGGCACTGTCCACGGCGGGATGGTGGAGCAGGTGAGCAGGGGTGCCAGACCAAGGTGGGGCGCCAGTTGCTGTCATCGGGGCTGCTGGCAGACAGGGGACTGGGGGCCATGGTGGGAAAGGCTGGGTCGGGGTGCAGAGGATGGGCCGAGACATGCCCCTGTGCCCACCACAGCCTCTCAGCCCACAATTCCTTTCAAGGTGCACGAATTCATGCACTGGACCCCTAGTTCTAGAATAAAAGTCTAGTGTTATTCCTTCATTTCTTGACATCCTGCAATTGGGCTTCTAACTTTAATATCATATGGCATTCTTGAAGACAAGGATTTCCTGGCTGTCATGTCCTCTGATCTTTTTTTTTTTAGTACAACACACAGGGCATTTTCTCCTTAAAGTCTCTTTGAATTTGATGCCATCTTGTGCTGATCGAGGGCTTGGAAGAGTCCAGCCGCAAGGTCGAGGCCGAGACTCCTGTGACGACGATGACGGGCCCCCCGGGCCTGCAGACGGTGGAGAAGGAAACCGCTGGGGCACCCAGCCAGCCCCCAGGCCGGCTCCCCCAAGAAGAGGTGATGGCCCTGGGCGGCTTCAGGTTTACGATGAGTGACAACTCTTACGTGATGCTCTGAGGGGGTGCGAATTAAAAGCCAGCATCTCGTCTGTGTTGACCTGGAAAGACCGAGGGGAACTTGTTGGCGACTCAGAGCTCACCCCCATGAAAGGGGCACCCCTTAGCCATAATGCCAACATTTTGGGGGGTCACTAGAGACCCCCCACCCCCACCCGATTGGGCCCACCAATGGGTTTTACCCCTCACAGGTGTCAGTAATCAAGAGGTTGAAGGCGGATCCGCTGAAGGTGGGAGAGGATTGATTCGAGTGTTCCTTTAAAAATACATACACATTTTATTGATTTCAGAGAGGAAGGGAGAGGGAGAGAGAGATATCAGTGATGAGAGAGGATCTAGGGTCGGCCGCCTCCTGCACGCCCCCTGCTGGGGATCGAGCCCACAACCTGGGCTTGTGCCCTTGACCAGAATCGAACCCGTGACCTCCTGGTTCATAGGTCGACGCTCAACCACTGAGCCA